CCCCCCCCCCCCCTTCTTCCCGAGCCTGAATGGCGCCAGCCCCCCACCCCCCTTCCGGGCGTGAGTGGCGAGGAGAGATGCTCTGTCGGAAAAAGGATGGAGATTTCGCGGAGAGGTGAGGTATGTCCTGGAGGGGGGGGCGGTCTGTCGGAGCGCGGGGGGGGGGGTCTCTGCGAGAGCGGGGGTCTGTAGGAGAGAAAGCGGAAGAGCGGAAAAGGAATCTGTCGGAAGAGGGGGGGGGCGTCTGCCCCGACGGGGGGCGGCGGGGGGGCAGGTGGGCGGTCCGGGGGGGGGCTGTAGGGAGAAAGCGGAAACGCGGAAAGGAACATGTCGAAAAAGGGGGGGGTGGGGGGGGGGCATCCTTATAAAAAAATGAGGGGGGGGGGGCTGTCGGAGGGGGGGGGGTCAGAGAAGACATCCTTTCGCGCGGGAGGCGGGGGGGGCGTGCGCGCACAGTGAATTCCGCTGGAATCCCCACCCCTCCCCCCCTCTCCCGAGCGAAGCGCGAGCGAGCTCAAGTCCGCGCGCCCGCAAACACACGCGCCCAATCGGCGGATTTTGGGGGGGCATTCGAAAAGAGTCCGAGGAGAAACGCGCCGCTTCTGTCAAGGGCACCGCTGCTGCTGCTGCGGCCCCCATCAACCTCGCCCGCAAGCAGCTTTGCGACGCGCTCTCCAGCGCGCCAGCTAATGCCGCAGCCGCCACTTCCGCAAGCGTTCGGCCATAATGCGGCGACATTGAGAAGCGCCCGCAGGAGCAGATGGATGAGTCTAGCCACACGCTGGGCCAGCTCACTGGCCAGCCATAGGCACGATGACGTTCTCCCCGATCGTCAGTTCCACATGCAAAAAGATCAGGAATCAGCTTCCGCTGGCTCAGCGCGCCCATCCCCCAAAGCCGAGCGACCGCGCTATCGATCGAGCGCGACGTTGGCTCGAAGGTCCTCGACGTCACTGCGCCCGCCTTTGTCTGGGGGGGGCCCCCTTCGAGGTGGGGCCGACCGAGGCGCAATCCATGTTTATTGGTGCGCATGTATCTAAGCCAGTGACAATAGCACCAACGAGGGGCCAGCGAGCGCTAGGGGCTCTCTAATTTTGAAAGGGATGGGCCAGATTCCCTGCCCCCTCTGCGGGCGGCCCCGCCACTCAGCTGCACGCGGGACCTGCGGAGGCAAGAAGGCGCCAGCGCGCTGCGGAACGAGATCGGCGACGGCGAGCGTTTTCCATCGAAGCATTGGGCGGCTCTCGGGGAGCCGGGCGCCGCGGCCCCAGCGGGCCCCCAGCGCCGACAGAGAGACGACAGCGGTCTACTTGGGCGACAGAGGTTCGGCAGATCAACTTCGTTTGCGGCGGTGGACCCCCCGGCCCATCGAGCCCATCGTCTCCCCGGGCGCTCAGCGCGAGCGGCGTCTTCGACGCTTCCAGGCTCTTCATCGGAGGAGCATGAAGCATTGATATTGATAGGTTTCCAGATTTCCAGGTTGTCCTGTTCTTCCGCGCGGGCTCCGGGGACGAATGGTCGAGCGCATTCCGTCGCGCAGGTCCTTTGCGTGATGGTCGCGGTCCATTTTTCGCGCATCGGGGCGCCCTCGAAGATTCCAAGCTGCATGATGCGTTGCTCTTGGGGAGTCCGCGAGTCGCAGCTGCCGTGGCGC